AAGAAGAGGAGAAGGAAAGATGGGAAGGAAGGAAGGAGGGAAAGAAGGAGAGAAAGAGGGAAGATTGGCCACAGCAACACGTGGCGGGTAAAGGTTGTTATTTCTATTATTATTATGCTATTATTCCTATTAGACCCTGGGGGATTGGGAGAGGTGTCAGGTCCCAGAGGCAATGCATTGCATTATTGTTATTGTTATGATGGTGGTGAAATAAAAGGAAATAAAAAGTGAAAGAAGGAAGCAAACAGGGAGGGAAGGAAGGCAAAGGAAGAAAGGGGGAGGGAATGAAGGAAAGAGAGAAGGATGAAACCAAGTAGTGAAAGAAAGAAAGAGGTAGAGAAGGAAGAAAGGAGAGAAAGGGGGAGGAAAAGGGGGAAGGAATAGGTAGGTACCTCTCTTTCATAATAGTCCATATATCTACCTCAACTTTGATAAGTTTTACTATAGGCCACAGCAACGCGTGGCAGGGCACAGCTAGTTATAAATAAAAGTGTACTGTTTGTGGGATTATCACTGAATTGTCACCAAATACACTACAACGCATGTGCAAAACCACATAAGCAAACACACACATAATATACACAACATATATACACACATATATACACAAACAACACATATACACAGACTGGGCCACAGCAACGTGTGGCAGGGGATGGCTAGTAATCTTATAAAAATTAAGCAAAGTCTCTAGTCAACATATAACTCTGTTGTGTTGAAATATTAGTCATGAGTTGGTTTGAAAGTAAAGACAGACTCAGAAAAATATCTACATATACTCGAGTATAAGCCGACCTGAACATCAGCTGAGGCACCTAATTTTACCACAAAAACTGGGAAAATGCATCGATTTGAGTATAAGCCGGGGGGGGGGGTGGGGAATGAAGCAGCTACTGGTAAATTTCAAAATAAAAATAGATACCAATAAAATTACATTAATTGAGGTACCAATAGATTAAATATTTTTGAATATTTACATGAATAAAGATAAGACTGTCCAACTCTGATGAAATCATTATTCTAACCTTTTTCAATGTAAATGTGCTTACGTATCCTTCCAATACTCACCATAATTTGAGTATACATTTTGGGGAAAATACTGTGTATATGAATAAGGAAAAGTGACTGGCGCCAAGAGAGGAGGAGAGGAAGGCGCACTCTGCACTGAGAGAAGAGTAGAGGAAGGTGCGCATTATGCGAGAGAGGAAAGCACGCTCTGCAACCGAGAGAGTAAGCGAGGAAGGTGTGCTCTGCACCATGAGAGGAGAGGAAGGTGCATGCTGTGCTGAGAGAGGAGAAGAGGAAGGCACACTCTGCATCGAGAGAGGAGGAGAGGAAGGTGCACTTTGCACTGAGGGAGGAGGAGAGGAAGGTGCCCGCTGCGCTGAGAAAGGAGGAGTGGAAGGTGCACACTGCACGAGAGAGGAGAGGAAAGCGTGATCTGCACCAAGAGAGGAGGAGAGGAAGGTATGCACTGCGCAAGAGAGGAGGAGAGGAAGGAGAGCTGGGTTGCTGTGCGCAGAGCTGAGGGTCCTGGTAGGAAGGCATGGGACTGAAAAAAGTACTCCTTTCAACCCCACGCCTTCCCGACAGAACCCTCACCCAAGTATAAGCCGAGCAGTGCTATTTCAACCTAAAAAGGGTTGAAAAACTAGACCTATACTCAAGTATATACAGTAAATTTAAAAAATATTCAAGGATGGTATATTTTGAATATAAGAGCAGTCAGTATATATAACTGAGACCTAGAATGATTCTGTTCCAAATATATGCTGAAGTTGCTATTGTATAAACTTAAAAGAGACTTTTAAACCGAAGTTTGTCACTACTGGGTGATGAAATCAATGTAAATTACACATGTTCCAGTTACATTTCTAAGGATGATGACACTAAGGTGATGATAAATTAAATTAAAATAGTTCCAGGACTGTGATATGGGTTGGATTCTATCACAAGCAGAAGAAAACTAAAACAAGGCAAGACTTGGGCAACCTATATGACACAAAAACCTAAAACGTCTAGAAGTGTCCAACTACTACTTATATAGACAGTTGAGGGGGAAAAGCACAGCCCCTTTCTCTGCGCAAATTCCTGGAGAATCTTGATGACAAAGCAGAAACAAATAGATAAAACAGCTGTTGCACTTGGAAATGTAGAATGGGAGACACAAAAGGAGGACAGTTTCAGCATTTCTGTGGCCTGCTTGTAAGAGTAATATTGATAGCACAGGTTAAGCATGTACACAAATTTCGTTTCACATGCAAAACTATTACAAACATTGTGTATAAAATCGTTTTCAGGCTGTGCGTATAAGGTATAGATGAAGCATAAATGAATGTTATGTTTATATTAGGGTCCCTTCTCCAAGACAGCTTATTATGTATGCATATGCAAATACAAGTATTCTCTCAAAACAAAACCCAAATCCAAAACATTTCTGACCCTAAGCATTTCAATTATTACTCAACACAGCCATCTGTCGGGGGTGCTTTGAGTGCAATTTTCCTGCTTCTTGGCACAGAGTTGGACTGTATGGCCCATGAAGTCTCTTCCAACTCTATGGTTCTATGACTAGTGGTATGGAGCAGTAAAAAATAATCATAGATATTAATAATAATAATAATAATAATAATAATAATAATAATAATCTTTATTTATACCCTGCCACCATCTCCCTAAAAGGGACTGGGGGCGGCTTACATGAGGCCAAGCCCAATAATACATAACTGCAAAATACAGAACACCAAAAAAATCATCACAATAAAATAAATAAAACATAAAGTAAATAAAACAGTACAAAGTAACAGGGTGAAAAATCAATCACAATGGGTGGGCCAAATGTATGACATAAAATGATAAAATACTGGATGAGATAGGACAGTGGAGACAGGCCTTCTGACAAATAGAGCAGGTATTTCACCCAGTCCAAATATGCTACAATAGTGCATCTACACTAGAATTAATGCAGTTTGACACCACTTTGACTGCCATGGCTCAACGCTATGGAATCATGGGATCTGTAGTTTGATGCGGCACCATCAGCTTTTGGCAACAAACGCTAAAGACCTTGCAAAACTACAAGTCCCAGAATTCCAGAGGATTGATCCACTGTAATGGGGGACATAACAGCATGAATTGTGGGAGTTGGAGTCCAAAACACCTGAAGGGCCGAAGTTTGCGCATACCTGCTGTACATGCACCCTTTTTTGTCTGCAGAACATTTTGGCCTGTTGAAAAACCCAAACCCTGTTCAGAAAGGCAGAGTCTGGACCACTGAAACCAAATAAGGGCAAAGAAGAGGAAGTAGTAGTAGTTGTAGTAATTGTAGTGGGGGTTGCTTTGCAGCATTACACCCAGAAGAAAAAAAAAAGAGAAACAGTACAGGGTGGGCCAAAACTCATAAAGTGGGTTTCAATCTTTAGTAACTCCGTTATTTTTAATTTTTGCCTTTACATTAAAAACACAATGCAGTATGTAGAAAAAAATATTTACATCACATGATTTGAAAAATTCATTTCTGAAAATGTTCAAAAAGTTAATAAGAGGTCAAAGCCAGGCACGGACAAACTTGGGCCCTCCAGGTGTTTTGGACTTCAACTGCCACAATTCCTAGCAGCCTACCGGCTGCTAGGAATTGTGGGAGTTGAAGTCCAAAACACCTGGAGGGCCCAAGTTTGTCCGTGCCTGGGTCAGACTCTCCCTTTGTGATTTTTGGCCCACCCTGTGTACAGGACCTCATCACACCAGAGAATGAGTCTCACTTGAAATCCAGTATCTGCCTCCTGCAGAATTCTGGGATTTGTAGTTTAGGGAGGAGCCTTGAACAGGAGGAGCATTTGTCCCATCCTGGTCTTTCCACAGATATATAAACCCATTTTCCTAGTTCCAACAGACCTCACTACCTCTGAGGATGCTTGCCATAGATGCAGGTGAAACGTCAGGAGAGAATGCCTCTAGAACATGGCCATATAGCCTGAAAAAACCTACAACAACCCAGCCCTGAACAGCCTCACCAAACTACAAACTCCAGAATCCTGCAGGAGGCAGAAACTGGATTTCAAGTGCTGTAGTGTGATGTAGTCAACCCCAGATGAAGGTGGCATGGGGGTGAATCTCCACTGTAGACTTAAGGCGGTATAACACCGCTTTAGGGATCCTGGGAGATTGCTACAGAGGCCCTGGCACTCTTTGGGAAGAGGCGGGCCAAACGTGCTGCAAAACTGCAAACCCCAGGATGCCACATGGCAAAGCGGTGTCAAACTGCGTTAAATTCTCCAGTGCAGACGTAGGAGATGTTAGGCCCGGCTGGTCTCGCGTGCTCTGAGCCACAGCTGCCCCACGAAAGGGAAAGACAGGGAAGGGAAGGCAGTGTGGGCTGCAGAGAAGAGAAGCCACAGGAAGAGCCAGGGACTGGGGCTGGTGCTGCAAAGGTTCTCCTCCTCACCTGGGAGCAGAAGTAGGAGCCCTGGATGCCCAGCTTGAGGCAGGTGGGGCACTGCAGCTTGGCCTCGCGGGTGCAGCCCGACGTCTCGCACGACCGGGACTCCGCCGCCGCCATGCTGCCAGCCAGGGCCACCGGGGAGGAGGAGGAGGAGGAGAGATTGAGGGAGGAGGAGGAGAGAGGGAGGGATCATCGCCTCGCCTCCTTCCTGCTCCGGCTCCCCCGCCCAAAGCAGCCAGGAAGAGGGTGTGGAAGCCGTCCTTCCTTGGAAGAGAGAGGCGTTTGGAAAAGGGGGGGGGGGAATTGGAAGGTGACTACTACAAAACAGCCTAGCATCCAGTTGCAAAACAATATGCATTCCTAGGAAGATGAGCATCTGGGGGGAAACTGGGGAATAGCCAAGGCTTCCTTGGAAGAGAGGCATTTGGGGGGAACCAGATAAGGCAGGCATGGGCAAACTTGGGCCCACCCTCCAGGTGTTTTGGACTTCAGCTCCCACAATTCCTAACTGCTAGGAATTGTGGGAGCTGAAGTCCAAAACACCTGGAGGGTGGGCCCCAGTTAAGTAATAATAATAATAATAATAATAATAATAATCTATATAAATAAAAATGTAATGTTCGTTTGTGGGAGTAACAGAACACAAAAACCACTGGGGGAATTGACACCAAAATTGGACACAATACACCTAACAACCCAATGTATGTCTTTCACTCAAAAAAACACAGCAGAAGGGACTTAAAAGCCCCAAAAAGCTAAATGACGAAAAGATAAATGACAATACAGAAAAAGGGAAGAAAGAGGGAGGGAAGGGGAGAAAAAAAAGAAAGAAAAGAGAGGGAAAGAAAGAAAGAAGGAAGGAAAGGGAGAAGGAAGCATGGAAGCAAAGAGAGAAGGAAGGAAGGAAAGAGGTAGAAAAGGAAGAAAGGAGAGAAAGAGGGAGGGAAAGAAAAAGGGGGGAAGAAAAGAGAAGCATGGCTCTAGTCGGGGAAAGGAAGAGGAAAGAACCTGTAGAGAATGGAAGAAAGGAAGGAAAGGTCATTGAGGAAAAACGGAAACGGGGCAGGGAATGGCCGACAGAATGGTAGAGAGACAGAGGAAGGGAAAGGATCCTCAAGATCCGAGAAGGCAAGAAGTAAAGCGAAGGGGAAGTTTTTCAGAGCAACGTGCGGAAGAAGATCGAAAAAGGGAGTGTGGGCTAAGGAGGACGAAGAGAAACGAGAAAGGCAACACAAGAAGCAAAATGCTAAACCGAGAAGGGCCAAAGAGAGGTGAAGGGCAAGAGAAGGAAAGAGGGAGGAGTGGAGGAAATATAAGGACTGACGTGGGCAAAGATGTGTCGAAGAACGCAGGGGAAGGCCAGCACGAGAAAGGAATGGTTGGGAAGGGTGGGACAACAGTAATAACGCAGTGGCAAGTTACACCTTAGTGTTAGCATAATAAAAATGTATTCATGTTCGTTGTGGAGGGATAGTTAAACATAGTGCAAACTAATCACAAGCAGAAGAACTGGCTAGACAAATATGAGGTTAACGAAGGAAAACCTCGAATAAAACAAGGACTACCCACCCCCCATAAGTCAGGGGACAATAACTCAAAAAAAAATAGGAAGTAATTGTCAAATGTGGGAGATTCATGGAGTAAAGACTTGCGGGACTTTCACAGTTTCATCGAAAAGTAAAACAGAGCACTGTCCTGAACCACCACAAAGGATGGAAGGGAACCCAAACAGGGGACACCACTCCGGGCACGTCAACCACCATGACCAACAGAAAATACATGGAAAGGGTTTAGGTTGTGGTGAATTGAACTGGAATTTGGTGACTTGAAAGTGCACCCTAAAAACCATGAGAGCACTGGGGGAAATCAAACGATGAAAGGAACAGCTAGGAAAAAACTTTGGCTAAATATGCCATATGCGCACAAAATGATACACACATGGAATTTCGGGCGCGGCGGGAAGGAACACCAAATACCAGACAGGACCTCAAATGCAGTGCTCTTTGTTACTCACACTCCTAGTCACGACGAAGAAGAATATAAACCCTTTTTGTCCTACGTTGCAACAGACCTCAGTATCGCATGAGGATGCTTGTCAAGAGATGTAGGCGACAATGCTAAGGAGAGAACGGAAAGTGCGAGTTCAGACACGTTAGGCCAGATAGCCACCGACAAAAAAAAAGACCCAATTGACAAAAACCACCAGTGATGTGGCCCATGAAGCCTATCGACCCATACAAAAATCAGACTTGACAATTTGGGAGTCTATAGTTACTGGGATTAGAGTGTCACCTACAATCACCCAACGAGCAATCATGAAACACTACCAACGGAACAAAGAGTTCATGGATCGGCAACAATATACATCACTGACACAGAATCAACCCATGAAGCAAAAGAAAATACTGGAAAGTAGCAATACAGTCAAAACCCCGCCCTACACCAGGGGCAGAAAACGGTAATCAAAGACCCTTGCAATGACACAAAGGGCAATCCATCCATACACACTATATATGATACAAAAAGACTGACATGAGCGAAAGAGGTAGTATCATGAGATTTGACAACTGTGAACTCCTCCCTAAACGTAAAGGAGACGGCAAGTCCATAGGTAGGCACATCTGTTAACGAGGCCCAGTAGGCAAACCTAGACAAATCTACAGACATTAACAAGGACATGATCTCAAGCCAACAGAAGGAGAAATAATGTGTACGACGACAAGCATTTAAAGAAATCACATATAGTAGAAAACAACAGCTTTCTCAG